ACAAAGGGGTAGGGAATGGAAATTAAAAGATTTGACAAAGGGGTAGGGAATGATAACCACAAATCCTGCTATTGAATCCCTTAACTTAAAATGTAGACATGCAAGACAAAAATATGGATGTGTACTACTCCCCCATGGCACATCCAGAACATGGGACTAGAAATTGGATAGAAGCAGAATCTAAAGCGATGGCTGCTGCAAGTTGGAATTATAAAGCATTCACTTGTGGAAAATTTGAACTAATCATTCCATAGTTGTGCATTTTTGTCAAATGACTAAATAAATACAATTCAATGTCTCACTCTCAAGACAGTTCTTGAGTTTATATGATTTTGGTTTAATATGGTAATCAATAGCAAGAGTATTTTTTCAGTTTCTGTCCTAACGTTAGGTTCACATTAACCACGGCCTATAGGAACCTGACTGTCTAGTGTCTACCACTTCTAACCTTATTTATATAGGCTTGTGCACATTTTTACATATGCCAAGATATTTTCTTATAAAATCAAAAGGATTTTCACCTCTTTGCTCACAATCACTTAGAGCCCTCTTCAATTAATAGGTCCTCCCAACACATCGAAGCTTGAACATCCATAATTGATCCAATGCACTGGATGAGATCTCCTTCTCTAACAGTGATACCACTATAAAGACAACAAACCCTACATTCTCATTCTACTCGGGCAAATTTCTTTTACACCCTTGGCAGACTCCACCCTTCCACAACTTGAGTCTCCTGCAATCAATAAATACATGCAATCCTATCTTCAACTATGATTTTGTGACCAATCTCATCCACTTGAAAACGCATCCCCAGAATAGACTTAATTAAATAGAAGAGCATCCTACTTCTTTCTGACCAAATGTTCCAAAGGATATAGAAAGATGGGCCTGTCCCAGAATTAGTCCTTTGTCCCAAAAAAGAGGATGGGAGATGACTTCCTCCATCATGCCATGACAATTGTACACAGGTGCACAAACCACCCCATAACTAGCATGAACATAACTGAATCTTGCAAAATAAAATTTTCCACTTATGCAACCTTCAATCTAAGCTGTCCACCCCTTCGATAAATTTTTTTTAATGGGATTATTCCCAAGTTGCATGCCTGAATATATAATTGGCCATTCTCCAACGCTACAAGTCATCCTAGCATACACATCTTGCACCTACTAAACTAGAATATGAATCCCCATGATGAAGAACTTACTAAAATGGGGGTTTCTCCTATTTCATTCGAACCAAATATTCTAGAGAATAGGGAGGAAAAAACTAGAATACCTCCCCTATCCCAAAAAAGGATTATGCAAGATAACTTCATTCATTTAAATCTTAAATAATTGGCACAAGAAATTCTTTCAAAAACAAAAGAATCAACAAAATATAAACAAAAGAATATCTAACTACAAGAAAAGATGAAAATGCAGTCATAGAGAGATGCAGAAAGGTCCCCAAAAATTAGAATATAGTCCTGCAGATTGCTGATACCTGGGAAACCAGTGGTTAACAGTTTTAGGTTGCCTTTCAAACAACTATATTGCTCATCCAATCAATGGAGTAATTAATTCAAACAATACAATTCATCTTGAGTGTATCACGAGAATGGAGATGGTTAAGAAGTCTAGATATTTATTCTTACTACAATCTCAACATAATCTTTTGGTCGCCGGATCTTTAGAATGGAGCCAGAGAAGTTAGTTCCATCAAATGAAAGTGCTGCTGAAGCATCCTCAGGCGTAAGAAATTCTACAAGAGCTTGCCCCCGATCTTTGTGTATCTGCACAAGAAGTGGTAGTGAGCACCAAAACCCCCATCAGACAATATCGTAACAATATAGTTACACACATTTAGAGAAGTATAACGCACTTACAATGCAACTAATACATGGCTGGGTTCCTTCGATGTGATTAACACCTGAGGATGTAAGAAAACCATTCATGCACTCAATGACTGCTTTCTCTGATGCAGAATGTGGTACATTTTCAATATAAAGCCTCCTCATTGGTCGGGTAGCTTGTGTTAGCTGAATTAAATCAAGAGAAACATTTGCTGTCTTCATTGGTAGATTATTTGAAGAAACGCCTGACAAAGATTTTCCCATAGCTGAAGAAAAAAGTGCACCACTGGATTGATCAGTACTGATGACGGAGGAGACAGTAGGATTTGACGGCTGAAAAATGGAAGTAACCGAACCAGAAAATAATCCAACTTTGTCTGCTGGAAGAAGATCCAAGGCTTCATTTTTCTTCTCGGGTGATCGAACAGGTGAAGGGGTCTTGATAGCAGATTCAGTTCTTCTCTTTCTAGGTGAATAGCCACCAAGCCCACTCGTCGACCCAGAATGTCTCCTATATTGGCTAGTGGAGCTGTTGGTGAAATCCCCAGTTCTATCGCTATCCGAACGCCATCTTCCAGACTTCTTTAAATGAGAATCTGGCAACTCCTTATGCCTCACTAACTTAGTTGAGTGCTTGTGTGCCCTTGGAGAAAGTGAAACAGATCTTCTATGTTTACTTTCTCGATCTTGACTTCTTTTTCGTCTTCTTTTAAATCTAGAATCTTCATAATGTGAACTTAATGATACTTTAGCTTCCTTTCTATCTCGATTTTCTAGGTCACGATGTTTACTGTGATCATGTTTCTTTTCACTGTACCTGTCTCTATTCTTGTCATCATCACCATTTTGATATTTTCTCTTACTTTCTCTTTCAAATTTTCCCCTACCACGATCTTCACGTCTATCCTTGCCAGCTAGATCTCTTGAATGCCTCTTTCCACTTTCATTTTCAATATCAATCCTTGTTCGCTGGTCACTCTTTCCCCAACCAAGGTTTTCCTGGCCATATTTTTGTCCTTTATCCTTTCCATTTGTTTCATATTTCACCTTACCCATCAATGTCAATCCAGATTCATAATTATTTCTATCACTCCTAACCACCGTACTATCCTTCAACAATGTCTCCTCTTTTTTCCTTCTCGAACTAATCTTGGCCGATTCCTCCAATGGGAGATTTTGCACGTCAAGAGAAGAACCTCTACTGTGGCGGAAAAGCCTTTCAGATTCACGATTATCAGTAATATCATTATCTATGCTATCCCTTCTTGAACGGCTCCCTGCTACTGTGGCACCCCCTTCAACATTAGCAGCTGACCCTTTATTCTTCCTTCTAAGCATAATATCTTCAAAGCTGAAAGGCCTAGTCCGAGCTGCACTTTCATCATTAGTGTTGTACAGGGTATGCTTAACACTGCTTCTACTGTATTTTTTTGAGCAACTATGTGTGCTCATTGGGTCCCACTTAAACGGACGATATAATGAAAAAATCAATACTCAAACAAAGTCTGCATTGACCATGTAAAAAGACCAATAAGCGGCCAAGGTGGAAAACTCAATAATCCTGAAAAAACGACAAATACACATATTAAGACGAAATCTAAAGAAAACATCAATTATCCACATTGCATAAATCAGAACTTAAGCCGGCAAAACTACAATGCAGAAAAAATTTACTTGACCAGAACGGTTAATGTCGAGCCTCTTCTTCGCCGCGTTGTAATAGCTTATTAGTCAAGGAGAGAACTAGAAGACATAATCCAAAGCTTGAACTATGCTTCCTTGGAAGCTACAAAAAGGAGAATTACACCATTAATTTTTCCACTTACCTAGCAAGCAGGAAACCCAAAACCTCTACTTAGCCCAAATAGGTACGAAATGATCATCTTTAAATTTCAGGAAACAAAAATATGGACTATTTACCCAATCCAATTCCATTCCATAGTTTCTTGAGCTCGAAACAGAAACAGCGTATAGTAAAACACTCGAATCAAAACCACCGATAGCCCGTGAGGATTGAATAAACAGCAGCAACAGAAGAATCACGCAGAGGATGTTGCAGTGTACCTTAGGGCGCGTCTGGAAGCGGAAAGAAGGAAGACGACTGTAAGAAGAATGCAAAGCGCGGCGATGATGGAGGGACACAGCGCAGTAACTGTATGGAGAACGCGAGAAAATGGAGAGCGACGGAGGAGGAGGAGGAGGAGAAAGAAACCTAGAATTGAGGGGTTCAATTATCTCTGCACAAAATTCAGGGGTTTCTTTTTTTTTCCTGCAATTTTACTCTGCAGTCACTCGCAGTCGTGGAACGATCTCTCCCTCCCCAACTCGCCCGCCGCGTGGATGATTTGATTTAAAAGAAAATTGAAAATATTTTCAAATTATCATGAAAATGTTTTATCGAAACAATTTTTTTTAGTAGCATGTGTAGAAATGGAGATTCAACTTAATTGGAGATATATGTCAATTGGATTGAAGGTATATACCAATTACTATTGACCTATGCTCGTTTTGATGACAATTTCTCTTTCTTAATTATTAAATGTGGTGGTCGTCGTAAAATATAGATCTTTACCGATAAAAACATAAGTATTTTCTATACATTAATACTAGAATCTGATGTAGATATATTTTGTTTTAGTATTTAAATATTAGAGTGAGTAAAAATTCTATTGACGGTATAGTAGACAAAATATTTTCTTTATTTTAATAGGCGTTAAATCCAGTTAAGAGTAACCTTAGCAAAATCTAGTTAATACAAGTTTGGGTATACGAGGCAGGAAATTTCTAACTCACCCTTTAAATTTTTAAGAGATGGAGTATATGGATATTGGATAAGTTTCAACTTTATTTAATTATTTGGTTGCTTAATTCCTTATTTAAACTTCTATAACCTAATTATTAAAGATTAAATTTTAAAAACACCATAAACCTTGAATCCTAATTTTTTTTTTAAATAATGGGGTCTAAATTAAAAAATATATTTAAGACTTCTTTTATAAAAGAAAAGTAGAAACTAAAACATATTTAATATATTGAGTATTTATTTATATTCTTAAGACTCTCCCTCACTTAAAAAGTAATTTTTAATATTAAAAAAACGACATTATAGAAAATTAAAAAAACGACATTATAAACTATAAAGATTCAAATCCATAGGATCCTATTATATGATACTGATAACAGCTAAATTTAATATTTTAAGCTGATAGATTATCGTAGAATGTATTTAATGGTTTATTCATATTGTTAACGTTAGGTGCCAGAGAACATGAAGAGCCTCGGGATGTTGTACTCGCTAAGGGCATAGGAATTTCCTTAGCAGCTTTCTCCTCACGAAAGTTTCGGACATCACGAGTCGCCATGGGCGGAAGGGGTGGATCCTGAACAACCTAAACGCTTCCCACCTCGACTACTATTACGACTTCTTTGCCATTCTGAATTGCTTGAACTTCATCTTCTCCCTTGTGGTTTCCAAATTCTATGTTTACAAGGCAGAAGTTTCGGACTCCATAAAATTGCTCACTCAAGTATTAGACCATTAGTTTTGTCTAATATTTCTTTGGTAGTTTTAGTCCATTAACTCTATATATCTATATAGAAATTGCTCACTCAAAACCCTATTCTGAGAGCCAAAATCCCTCTCAATTTCTTCGGCTTCCCCCTTCGTTCCGCCATTGAAGTTGCAGACGTCCACGATCTCTCCTTCACCTTCAGCACTTTCTTCAGATCCGGCCCTTCCTTCAACCTCTCTTACCGCCCCAATGATTCCATCGACCCCTTCACTCTCGCCCTCAAGGCCGGAATCGGACTGTTCGGCTCGCCGATCGACGCTCCCATGGCTTTCACGGCGGAATTCAACCTTCCACGCAACGAACCCCCTCGGTTCTTCCTCCACTTCCGCCCTCGACTCGGCGATTTCACTCTCCGGAGATCCGTCCAGTCGCACATCCCGAATTTGAATTTGCCCTATCGGAACGCGATTTCGCGAATGGATGATGATATTGCTGCTCTGAGTAAGGGAAAGTCCGTCGACGATGGCGCCGAAACTTCTGGAGAAGCCGATTCTGACCTGACGCTCGGA